AACTCTAAGATATTTATTTATTAACTCAAGAAAAAATACAATTTATTTGAGAAATTATATAACTATGAAAAACTGAAGCTCATTTTCAATGAAAAAATTATCCGAATGATCCAGTATTCTGGTAACTCTAGAGTGATAAAAATGTATGAATAGCTAAAAAATAATTATATTGATACGAATTCTCCTATACGTTAGTGCATAAAATGACCCGGACGCAATTTATTGTACTATGGGACGAGAAGTGATATCTTGACTTATCACTTAGCCTGTATTCCTACAGAAACGAATAATACAAGTAAACTGGATTCGTTTGGACAAATTGTTGCGTCTAGTAACGTCTTGTCCAGAATTATAAATTGTATTATTAGGCTTATAGAAGTCCTCGTCAGTTGGTTCCATTTCAACATATGGAATACCTATTTCTGTAGTATCAATGTCATCTGGTGCACATACAATACCTATTTTAGGCTTGAACAGTAAATTATCGTAGTCTTCTTGACTATAAATACGAGTGATGGTGCCACTTTTACTTGGATCTGAAGAGTCGAACCAGGAATCATTAGCTCTACGAACGATCATATCGCCCTCTGAAGTCCCTTTTATGCCATTATAGACCTAGCACGTGACATCCGGAAGTGCCATGTTGGCATAGTGCGCACTTACTCCACTTAAAATAAGGCATCCCATGGTAGTAATACTTCTCAATTTCATTATTATCCTTATGCTTGTCTTGTAAAATAGTCAATTGAAGCTCAGGCAAACGGCGGTGTAGGCAGAAATGGAAATGAATGCTAATCTTGAATCTTTTAGCGGGTTAAATTTTGATTCTAAGGAAACAGTCAGGAAGTTGCGCCCTTCTTATAGTTTTTCTTAGGTAGCCACAGTATCGCTTAGACTCTTGATTGAAGGCGGAAAAAAACACTCTACACTCGTGTCACTATCTAAGATAAAGATATAATGCTATATCAGGAAAGGCACAGATTGGCGCATGCGAGTCAAATACATCTGCTCAATTTGTGATCCTGAGATCCCTTTTATCTTTTGGGAGTTTACTATTTCTACTGTTCAATACCTTGAATTGAAATTTTGGTGCCGTGCGATTATGGACTACGCAGGCATGAAAATTGGGTTCAAGAGAGCGCAATAATTCAATCTCATCAAGGTAGTAAATATTGCGCGTCATCGAACAATCGAAATAAATTTCAGATGAGGACGATTTAATGGTCAACGAATTAAAGCATCTGCAAGTCCACACATGCATGCGCATTGCTCAACTTGTGATCCTGGGGCCCACCTCTTTCCTCTTTTGAGTTCAATACCTTTCTAATTGAAAGTTGGGTGCCGTGCGATTACAGGACCACGCAGGCATGAAAATTAGGTACAAGAGAGCGCAACAATTTAATCTTATCAGAGCACTAAATATTGCGCGTCATCGGTAAATCAAAAACATTTCCAGACGAGAGATATTTTTTGCCCCCTAAGATTTTTTGGCCCTTGAGAACATGAATTTAACATGGAAGGAGTAAGTTTCTAGAAGCAGAAAAATGAATCGAAAAATATAAAATATTATAAAGCGTAGTCATTCAGATGAGTGTGAACAACGGAAATCATCCACTTGTGTGCAACTGATCTATTCCTTTCTTTGAAAGGTTAATATGCAAAGAATAACAAACAGCTGTTGCTGATCTACTACTGCGACAAGATAAATAAACCGCTGCTCAGTCTTTGTCTTCTCTCCTTCACCTTATGTCCTGAGTCACCTGATGTTCTTCATCTAATCATTACACCTTTAGACAGTATATTGAAATGGATATCCAAAGAGCTCTTCTTTCAACAAAGAGTTTAGGATAAGATGTTTGCTTTCTCCCTCAATCCTTATCGGAGTTTCTTAGTACTCGCTCTTCTTTGTCTTATTACTTTTCCTGCTTTTGCTCTTTCCATTATATTTTGTCCTTTTATAACAAAATTTTCCCTTTTTTTTATTTCACTTCTTCATAAAATCTTTCAAATTCTTTTCGGCTTGATTATCATACTTATAAAAAGTAATACTCCCATAACTATCCTACCAAAAGTATTCATCATTTATAGATGCAACACGTAATCATCAGCTTTGTACTCAATTGAATATGCATGTATCCTAAGGATTACCTTATTGAAGACGAAAAGCTTTCTAGAGTCATATCAAAACTATCGTTCACACTTGAAATCTTATTCTTTGGAAGGCATACTTTGGATCAGAGTTGATCATATCGACTTCAAACCCATTCCCATAAAATTCTAAAATTTCACCAGTAGTAAGCAATAATCAGTAATCAGACTAATAACATGCAGATCTGCATTAAGGAAACGGTAGATCGGTATAAGTATTAATTAGTTATTCATCATATGCCTCCTCTACCTCCCCTTGAAAGTAGGATCACAAAAAGGAAATAAGTTAACAGAAATCAAAAGATATAACGAATTGATACAAAAAGCAGCTGACAAGGATATGGGTCTAAGTGTAATGGCGTTGCCCTAGCATGATTGACAATCAATAAACATATCTCCATTAAAGTAGAGTTTTATTAATAGGAGTATAATCCCAAGAACACTAATTGGACAAAGGTTGAATTTGAAATACATGGAAGTACTCTGAAATTATATTTTAACATCAATATTTATAGATAATAGCGAAATTTATACAACGAATAATACTGATATATTCCGTTTATTTATGTCTTAATGCTGTATATATGCTATTCTTCTAAATGCCCTTACCCTCTTCGCTTCTTTATACATTTCCATACC